AGCTAGACGGCTGATTGTTTATCTGCAAGCCTTTAAGACCCCAGACACTATATCTTTTGATAGCTGGGCACCATCAGGAAATGGGTCATTTTTGACTTTGTAAGCACTACTCTATAAGGCAGCTCATCTCTGTTGACTCTAATTTGTGTTCATATAATAGAGTCAAGAGCCAAGAGTCCCATCTCAGTGTGTTGGGCCCTTCCTACAGTTTGCCTCCAAACTCCTTTCCTTTTGAATCCTAGTACCATTCTTAGTGGGTGGATATGTCATCTACTCTCCCTAATCACATTTAAGACTGTGGTGACCTTTCAGTTGGCCTGTACTTTGTTTTTTGCTTTTCTAACAATAGTATTTAATAATATATATGACAATGTATTATTCAAGTCTTGCAATTGAATATCTACTCTGTACTAAAGACCTTGCTACATGCCATGAACAATATCATGCTACAGTAAGCCAAATAGCACACACACCGTGTGCCTGTGACTATGTGAACACTGTGTTCAGGGTGTCATTCAGCTGTCATATTCATAGGTTGGAGAGGGACCAGCCTCAGCCTGTGTGTGGGGAATAAGTTCTCAACCCAAACGTGAAACAGCTGTCACACGCACGGGACAGAATGGAACAAGCATCTTTCTAAATGTGGAGAGTAAGGTCTCACCCAAAAGGTGAAATCACTTCCTGCATTAACCAATCAATATGTACTTCTATATAAACAATGAGTACATACTTCTACTATTCACTTGTGGAATATACTGGCCCCTTAAAACAGAAACAAGTTCAGGGTGGAAAGGTCCTAGTTATATCTGATACAGGGGAATCAAGGAGAATTTACTAAATATTTGCATACCTGGTAACATTCCACGAAGGGTTTGAAGAGTCCTATCAAAAATTCTAGCACAGTATGTCCTTTTTCTGTAACCAGGATGTCCTTTGTAGTTACTTGTATGACCTCACACTTACAAAGCAGGTAACAACCTTCTTCAAAGTCCTGGAAATAAGGGAGGGAAAGTCATGAAGTATCCACTAACTTAGTTGACAGGGAATATTACCAACCTGAATACATGCAGCCATTGCCTTCAGACATCCCACACCACCAATTACATAGTCCTTCCCAGAATCTTTGAAAGGAGCCCGAGAAGCAGCTCTTCTAATACTTAAAATGGTCAACACAGGACACACAAAAATATTCTAAGTCTTAACAATCACAACCTATATAATACTGCCATACTCCTTAAATAGACGTCATATAACAAATGTTAAAAATCCTCAGAAAAAGTCACTTTTTGCTCACAAGCTTTTAAGAACACTCCCCCACCCCGCTCCCATTCACTAATAATTAAAGTAGTATGAAGGCCATTGTCTTTGTTGACTATACACGTCAACTGACCTTGGTGTCCCAGAGATTATGATCATCAGCCGACCAGTATTGACTCATCCCTTTAAGACAGCAGCTCTCAACCTTCCAGATGCCGGGACCCTTTCATATAGTTCCTCATGTGGTGGTGACCCCAACCATAACATTATTTTCATTGCTACTTTATAACTGCAATTTTGCTACTGCGAAAGGGTCGTTTGACTCCCCCAAAGGGGTCGTGACCCACAGATTAAGAACCACTGCTTTAAGTATTTAGTTATGGCCCAGAAGTTTCCATAACTCTGCCACCTGTAAGCACTATTATATTCATGGATATGTGTGCAGCACAGGTCGAAATATTCATGGGTATAATCCCAATCTCTGCCCCCTGCCTGTTCACCTTGTTCGTCTATTCATGCTTCCACTTGTAGACTGTTACTGCAATAATAATAAAAGAATAGAATTTATCTCTGTTGCCTTTAATAGTTGCACTTCTTCCAGTTGCTAACTTCCCTTTTGCCGATCCTTTTTCATATTTTTGCTGATCTCCCTTACTGTATGTTGCCTATTCCTTCACCCAATTTAATATGTTAGCACTGTACTGTGTCTAGGTACAAATGTAGTTTTTTTTAAGAGTTTCACATTATTTTCTTTACTCTAGTAACTCTATTGTAAGCATAAGGGCTGCAGTGTCATATTTTAGAGATGAACTCTTCAAAAGAGTCTCCAAACACATAAAGTTTGAAATAGAACTTTGGCCAAAAATGTGGTCATAAGAAATGCTAGTTAAAAAAAAAAGAAAGAAAAAGAAATGCTAGAATATGTGAACATTTAATTTTTAAATATTTCCCTCTTTGGCAAAATTTATTGTGAATTGTTGAAAGTTTACAGAGCAAGCCAGTTTTACTGAACAATTCAAACACATTTTTTCCATGTCCTTGACTACAAGCCTCATCATATCATATCCCTTCTCGCGCTTGCTGTTTCCGGCCCCTTCTTTCCTACCCCTGCCTGCCTTCTACACTTTGTCTTTACTTAGCAAATGCTTCTGTTTCTATCTAAAATGCTGGTTAGTCTAAGGAGCATATACCTCCCTAGTCTTAATATTCAACTTAGAGGCCTCTTTATTGCTTGCCTGAAAATTGAGCCAAAATCTCAGGTTAGTTTTGCAAGTCCATAAACAATGTAAGCACAAATTATTTAAGCAATGAGAGAAGTTGCAGGAGCAGCATTTCTAAGCTATGCTACTAGTAACAGACCAGAAGTTATAAATAAGAATGGGACATAGAACAGGTTCCCAAGTACTAGTTAGTTCAACAGGAATGTACAGTCATTTACCAGAAGAGACCCTTAACCTAACAGTCAGGACATCTAGGTTCTAGTTCTAGCTGTGGAAATAGCTGGTCATGATTTTGCACAAGACATAATCTATATCCTGCCACCCAGACTTTTGTTTGTTTTGGGATTGCCAAATTCTGGTTGAGAACACTATTTCTATGGTAAGATTGTGATTTCTTGCTTTCCCTCTAAACTCTGTGCTACTTGTTTAATGCTTCCTGTTCCACCCTGTCATCATTCCTCCACCACCCTTCCCCCACCACCTGATTTCAAGCCCTTCTGCCTCTGCATCTGCCTCTCCTTTTCCACCACAGCAAATTGCTTTCTCTTTGATGCCACTGGGCCCTCTCAGCAAGTTCTCCAACTTCTTTCTTCAGTCTCATCACTTTATCTGTGCTTTTAAATTCAGTATGTCCAGTTTCTGTCAAGCGGCTGCTTCATCAAATAACTATCCATTCCCGTTCTTCAGTCTCATCTATTATTTCACTCCAACAGTCTACTGTTCCAGAGTCCCTTTTCTCTAAAAACAAGAAGATACCTCTCGACAATTTCCTCTTGCGAAACTGTTCTTCACATCTACTTTTTCTCCCCTGACTTAACTTAGTTTTAAAAAACAGTATTTTCTCAATTTTTATCCACACAACCTTCCTGCACCATCTGATATTTTAAAGCATCTTCCTTGTTGCAACTCTCTCCTCCTTTAGCTTCAACCACATAATTCTGTTCTTTTCGCCCCTCTCTGTAGTCCTTTTGGTGGTAGCTCTTTTGCCTTCTGTCCTTCAGGTTCCATTCGGGGCTTTGTTCTCCTCACAGAAAACACGCTTTCTATGGTCATGCTAACTGGTTTTCATGGAGTTATCTTCAATTGTTTTCTCTGTCTCACATTGCCCCTAACCTTCTATTACTGGCAAATTTGGGGGATTCTACACACACAAACTTTCTCACATTCTTTCCTGTGGAGGCCGCAGGCTCAACCCCTATCATTTTATACCTGGGTACAATTACATAGCTCTCTGAATTGGTTTTTCTGTCTTTAGTCATTTACCTTTGCCCCAAGTATACCCTTTTGACCTTTCCGATACACTATATTCTCTTTAAAATATAGATGCGTGTATCTATATCTATATATCTGTCACTCTTATCCTCAAAACCCCAAAAGCTTTGGCATGCTCCACCCTATGAAATAAGACCCATCCTTCTTACTGGAGCATACAAGTGCCACCTTTCATCTATTTTGTCATTCCCCACCCCAAAGACCAGCACCCTAGTTCCATAAGCCTGACTATTCATCAGTGGTCATGCTACCACGTTAGACCACCACACTCTGCTTTCACAGGGCAAGGCAACAGCTGGTTCATTGACTAATTGTTAACAGAAGGAACTGTGCTAGCCATCATTTTTGTTTTTAATAAAATAGAGTTGCTTTATTTACAAGGGTTGCCCTAATCATTCAGAGGATAACTCTCCTCCCATCACACAATCCCTACCAACCTAAACCTAAACAAGAATCAAGGCAGGCGTCTGTTGAAGTGTGAGCGCTCCAGTTTCTCTTGGGCAGGCGCCTCTCAGCCTTGAAGAAAGGGAAGGCATGCTGCCCAAGACTCGCCACTGAGTCCAAGACCAACGCTTTCAGAACGCACACTGAAAACCTCTGCCCTTGGCTGGGAAAGCTTTACCTTTAGTGCATTTCCTGGAAGGAAGATGAACTCATCTGAAAAGACATCGCGAAGGAAGTAAAAGCAATAGTAGACGTCCTCTAGAAACAAATTTATTAAATAAAATTACAATTCTGGGTTTTAAACATGCAGAGAGCACAAAAAAGTTGATGATGTCCTCAAATCCAGTCTTTCACTGGAATAATTTTACTCATATCCTAGAGATAAGAATTAATCCCTTAAGGAAACTATAAAAAGTTCAGATTTTACCGACAGGGCACACCATGGCATCCCATTTAAGTAGCTGGACCTGAATTATGCTCCTTCCTTGAATCATCTAATCATTCAATGTAGTAATGTTAAGACATCGCATTCCTTAGAAACCAGGCACTTCCCTTTTCTCTATCCCTATGATTCACTGATAGAGAAAGAACTTCCTTCTTATTTCCTGGTTTCATGCTCTGTGTTCCACACTAGAATATGCCAGTACTCAGTGGCAGACAATACATGTAGGATGGTCTTGCTCATCTGACTACAGGCAGCACTGCAGGGCTCTCTCTCTCTTTTTTTTTTGGACATACTTTATGATGTATATGGATACAAAGCACTGCTTCCACCTCTAAGCAGGTCACAAGAACCTACAAGGCCATTCCTGGGCCTCTTAAGTATTTTTGAATTCCAGTTTAAGAAACCTTAGAACAACCATGAGATGTGAGTTTCCCATATTCTGAACGAAATCACCTTAACCTCTCTGGGAACCAGACATGAAGGCAATAGGCCATAAGACTTTTCTGGCTCATTTCAAAGCTAAAAGTCTGGTTGAGACTAGTGCCTCTCAGCTCTGGCATAGCTTTGGGGAAAAAAACTAAAGCAAATCAAAACACTAATGTGTGGTCTATACCTCAGACCAATGAAAACAAAACCTTTGGTGGTTTGGATCATTCTTTCAGTAATTCTAATGCACAGGTTGGGTGGAAAACTGCTGCCTTAATGACAGGCTCCTGATGATCCATAACTGTGCTTTACTCAGGTTCATACTGCTCATTGCAACTAGGCTGCTGGGTTACCTCCCATCCTGCCCTTGTCCCCTGGCCTGCTTTTGTCAGAGGAGAGCACTGTGATTATACAAGAGCTTCACACAAAGAAATGAAGAATTGTGTTCCAATTCCAGTTCCTTCTCTAAGAAATTATGTAACTTGAAAGGCCTATTTTTTTTTTAATTTATAAAAGATGAGGGTTAGATGATTTCTTAGGTACCTTTTAATTTCAAAACCAATGGTTTCATGGAAAAATGTATGGTCTTCTGAGTATTAAGGACTCCATTCCAGTGTTGTGCATGTTGCATGCATGCAGCTAAACATTAAGTTTTCACAATATATTTAAACTATACGTTATACGATATGTGAATAATATGTCAATAAAACTATCAAACAGAATAAAATAAAACTATTGATAAAACAAAAATTTTTTTTTTTAAACAAAATTTTTAAAAAGGCTTGTGGCCTACTTTAAACTGAATGTCCAGGTATTTGCCAAAATTCAAGATCACATTTCTCTAAGTTACCTTTCCTGAACCCAGGTGTCATCTGCAGGGCTACAGCTACTAAGGATGGACGGACAAAAACATTGAGCAACTGGTTCCTGTAAGCTGAGCACATGAGGAGAGTGAAATGTTGGAATATAAGTCCATTGACCACTTCTGATGCTCCAGAGTCCTCTTTCACAATCACCTGATCTTTCACAAGGCTGGCAATGTTGGAATGCAGAAGAATGTTGGCCTGTACAACTTCTTCAGCAGGCTCATTATCTACAGACAAAGACAAATCACTCAGACAAATGGCAAAGATGTGAGATGGGAACCTTAAGCATTGACTACATTCACCCTGGTAACTTCAATGATATTTATTTTCCAGTGCCAGGTATTGGTACAGGGCTCTACAGAAAATTAGAAAAATCACATGTATGTGAATTTAATAATACTTGGACAAACCAAAACCAAACTCACTGCCACTGGGTCGTTTCTGGCTCATGCCAACCCTGTAGGACAGGGTAGAACTTCCCCTGGGGGTTTCCAAGACTGTTAACTTTTTTTCCTTAATCATTTTATTGGGGGCTTATGTAGTTTTTATCACAATCCATATATACATCCATTGTGTCAAGCACATTTGTACATTTGTTGCCATCATCATTTTCAGAACATTTTCTTTCTACTTGAGCCCTTGGTATCAGCTCCTCATATTTTTGCCCTCCCTCCCCCGAGACTGTTAACTCTTTATGGGAGTAGAAAGCTCCCTCTTTCTCCCATGGAGTAGCTGGTGGTTTAAAATGGCTGACCTTGTAGATACTTATGACAAGAAGGTCCATAATTAGTGTAAGAAGACCATAAATAACACATGCATGTATTATATTAAACATACTATGCAAACATTTTTTTATGGCAACATATAAAAAATTATTAGCATACTGTGCTTATTAAAATACTTTTGGGGAGTATTTTATGCTTCCTTTCTCTCCCCACCAGGGCTTATCTTTGAAAGTGATATTGTTTATTTTCTAAATGCCTATTTCGCCTATTTCCCTGTTTACTGTGTTATTGCTTACCATCTCCTACAGATTGCGGGTCAGGTCCCTAAGGGGTGTAGGCCTCTATGACCCAACCACCATCTACATCGTTTATTTTCCGTAATTCTCCAACTCATGGCTGACATCCTAACATCATCAAACTGCTTATAAGTCAATGAATACATTAGCTCATCTTTTCTAATTCCTATCTAGTAGGGATCCTCTTCCTTCTGAGAAGCTTCTACTTTCCCATCAAATATCCCTTCCATGAAATCTTCCCAGACTGTGGACTCTTTCCTACAGTAATCACCTGTAGTTTGTCCACAGCTCTGTATTTCCCTGACTCCTCATTACTAGTTTACACCTTACCAGCCTACTCTACCTCCGTAAACCAGAACTGCAGCTTAATCACTTTTGTATCCTTGGTAGTATCTAACATTGGCTACGTCCTCAATATAGACTTGATAAATGAAAAGCACTTAAAAAATAATTTATGGTCTTAAAAAAGTAGTCTCAACAGTTTTAAACTGAAAGATTTAAAGTCATTTAACTCTTGTCAGTTTGTCATAGAATGGTGGTTTATGGATTGTTGTGATGTTAGAAACTCTGCCACCAGTGTTTCAAATACACGAAGGTCACCTCTGGTGGAGAGGTTTCAGTGGAGCTTCAGCCTAAAAATAGACTAGGAAGGAAGAGCTGTTGATCTATTTCCAAAAAATGTGGCCAGTGTAAAACCTTATGAAGAGCAGTGGAATACTGTCTGGTATACTGCTGGAGGATGCGCCCCTCAGGGTGGAAGGCACTTAATGTACAGTGAACCCTCGCCACTTCGCGCTTCGACTTCCGCGGCTTCACTCTATCGCGGTTTTTGCGTTAACAGCGCATGCTCTGTCATTACTGCCACTGATTGGCTCATACTGTACACGCTTCTGTCTGCATCACTACGTATCAGAGCTACGCATCAGATGCATTTTTGCTTTTGTACAGTGTACTGTAATTGTTTGCGATTTTTAAGAACTTTTATCTAAGCCCTATGATGGCTCCTGAACGAGCTGCTTCTTCTAAGCCTTCTGACAATAAAAATAAGCGCCAGAGGAAGATGCTCACCATCCAGGAAAAGGTAAAACTTTTGGATATGATCAAAGATGGCAAGAAAATCGTGGATGTTGCACGCCATTTCGACTTGAATGAGTCTTCCGTTCGCTCCATCCGTAAAGAGGAAAAAAACATCCGTGCTACGGCTACTTTCACTTTCAACAAGGAAGCAAAGCGCATCGTGACAAGTCGTAATACTGTAAACTAGATGCCATAAATAATACAATAAATAATAAATGATAATTGTAACATCCAAAATGTTTTACTGTATTTTCCCTTTTTTGTTTAATAAATTGTGTAATACGAGTGTAATGGTGACTAAAGGGTGTTTTTTCATGTCCTCTATGCTCTACGAAAATATTTGATTTACAAATAAGGAATCGTACTTCGCGGAATTTCATTTATCACGGTAGGGTCTAGAACCGATTAACCGCAATAAACGAGGGTTCACTGTATTCCTGAAAAAAGAGATGCCTCCTCCAAGAAGAGTTGACCTTAAATATATAGAATAAAGCTTTTGGAACCATCATTGGCTGAAGTATCATGACACAAAATGAGAAGAAACATGGAATGTTTGAGTCTAAGAGAATTGGAAGTCATCAAAAATGTAATGGGATGGCTAAGGATAGATACCCTAAACATTAGTGAGCCAAAATGTAAGGGAAATGTAAGGTCTTCAGGAGGGAAATAAACATATGGTCTACTATGCTCGAAATGACAAAATGAATCTAAACAGTATCACATTCGTCATCAAAAAGAACTTTTCAAGATCTATCCTAAGATACAATGCAATCAAGGAGAGGATAATATTTATATACTCATAAGGACGACCAGTTAATACGAATGGGAGTACCATTAAGTTAACACACCAACAGATACTGCCAAAGATAAAGAAATAGAAATGTTTACTAACATCTGTGGTCTGAAATCGATCAAACATCATGTGCAAATGTGAAACAAAAAGAAGCATTGATTGTTAGAAAATATGACCTTGTGTGACGGAATCTTACAAGAACAATTTCCTCATCACAAATATCTTTTCTTGAAAACATAAAATGGTGAGTTTAATATTGTCAATTGGAACAAGGCCAAAGGCCAACAACAGAACAGACCAACAATTTCTCATGTATAAATTCAGGTTGAAGAAAATTATAAAACAAGTCTACAAGAGGCAAAGTACAACCTTGAGTATATCCTTCGTGAATTTACTGAACAACTCAAGAATAGATTTGACTCAGACCAGTTAAAGGATGACATCAAGGACACTGTCGAAGAGGAAAGTAAAAAGTCATTAAAAAGAGAGGAAAGAAAGGCCAAAGTGGATGCCAAAAGCTTCTAACACTTGCTTTTGAATTAGGGGGGTTAAAGTGAATGGAAGAAAAAAAAGAAGTAAACTAGCTGAACAGAACATTTCAAAGGGTGGCCATACTAGAAAAGGAAAATCGTGTAACGAAATGTGTAGAGACCCAGAAGCAGAAAACCAGAGGAAGAACACCTATGGCATTTCTTAAGTTGGAAGAACTGAAGAAAAGATTCAAGCCTTGAGTTGTAATATTTAAAGATTCAAGGGGCAAGATAGCAAATAGGTAGCATCAGAAGATGGAAGGATTCAAAAACTGATTGTGGTGATGATGGTATAACTTTTCCTGATGTGACTGAACTATTGAATTTTATGACATGTGAATTATATGGCAATAAAATTGCTGGGGCTAAAAAAGAAGACAATGGAACGAATACAGAGTCACTGTTGCACTGATGTTATGAAAGAAAGAAGTCCAAGCTGCACTGAAGGCATTGTAGAAAAAGAAGACACCAAGAATAACTGACTGAATACCAATTAAGATGTTTCCACAAATGGATGCAATAATGGATGCACTCTCTCATCTACGCCACAAAATGTGGAAGACTGCTACTTGGCTAACTGATTGGACTACTACTGTCCATTCCAAATAAAGGCAACCCAACAGAATGCAAAAATAAATAAAAGTAGTAGAATACTATTGACATCATATGCAAGATAATAAAAAAATACCAACAAGGAACTGCTGGAAATTGAAGCCAGATTCAAGATATAAGGGTTATCACTAATGTCGGATGGATCTTGACTGAAGGTAGAGAAATCAGAAAGATATTTATCCATGATTTATTGACAATGAAAAGACATTTAACTATGTGGATCATAACAAATTATAAATAATATCAAGAAAAATGGGAATTCCAGAACACTAATTGTACTCATATGAAACCTGTATATAGACCAGCAGGCAGTTATTCTAAAAGAACCATGGTTTAAAATCAGGAAAGATGTGTTTGAGGGTTGCATCCTTTCATCATACTTATTCAGTCTGTATGATGAGTAAATAATCTGAGAAATTGGGCTACATAAAGAAGATTGGAGGAAGACTCATTAACAACCTGAAGCAGATGATACAATCTTGCTTCATGAAAGTGAAGAAAACTTGAAGCACTCACTGATGACAATCAAAGACTACAGTCTTCAGTATGGATTATACCTCCAAATAAAGAAAACAAAACTCATTAAAACTGGGTCAATACACAATAGCATGATAAACAAGATAAGATTGAAATTGTCAAAGATTTCAGTTTACTTAGATCCAAAATCAATGTCTCTGGAAGTAGCTACCATGAAATCAAACAGTGTATTGCATTTGGGCAAATCTGTTCTTTAGAGGATCTTTTTGAAGTTTTAAAAACCAAAGATGTCATTTTGAGGACTGAGGTGCAGCTGACTCATACCTTGGTATTTTCATCACCTCCTACGCATTTGAAAGCTAGGCAATGAATAAGTAAGACCCATGAAGAACTGATGCCTTTGAATTAATGGTGCTTGCAAAAAATATTCTTGCCAGAAGAATGAACAAATCAGAGTTAGAAAAAACATAGCTAGAATGCTCTTCAGAAGCAAGGCTTATTCTCACATACTTTACACATGTTATCAAGGGGGACAAACGCCTGGAGAAGGCCATGTCTGGTCTGAGAAAGAGAGGGTCAATGAAAAAGAGGAAGCTCCTCAATGCAATGGATTGACACAACAGATGCAAAATGAGCTTAAGCAAAACAATGATTGCTTGTTCTAGTGTACATAAGCTTGCTGTGAGTTAGAGCAATCCGATAACCTAGAACTACAAGAATGACATTGTCATATATATCCCAATCTCCTAGCATAGTATTGAAAGATTATTTTTAAAAAGTAGTTATTACGGATAATTGTATAAAGTGTATGACCCACCCTTTGATCTGATAACCTGGTGAGGCATATTATTTTTAAAGTTACAAATACATTTGTACATTATAATATACACAAATTATACTATTATATTACATATGTTATATATGGGTGGATGTGGAAGGAAGAACATACAGAACATCAAGGACTCAGGTATTTATTCTTAACTCCACCAAGTGCAAGGGATGATATTCTAATCCTTGAACTTTTAAAATCCAGAAGGGACAAATGTCATATAGTAAATTATTCTCAAATAACCAACACGGGGTGTTCAAGGTCCTCTAAAACCTATCCACTGCAATTGAGCTGATTTCTACTAGAGCAGTGCTGTAGGGCAGAGTCGAAGTGCTCCCTAGGGTTTCCCAGGCTACAAATGTTGACAACAGCAGAAAAGCTCATCTTTCTCCCACAGAGGGGCTGGAGGTTTGACCTGCTGACTTTGCAGCCCAGTGTATAACCAACAGTTACCAGGGTTCCTTTAATGACATATATGGATTAAAACACAAAAAAACACAATAGATTTGCTTTCACTCTCTGAGCAATGCTCTGCTCAAAATCTGATATTGGTTTTTCATGTCTAGGTTAAAACTCTTCAAAATTAGCAAATAAATAAAGTATCCATCTCGTATGTCACACATATGTACCAGGCCAGATGAGAAATCCTCCAAACGCCTGTGTTAAACCTTTCAGCCACAAGGTCTTTGCAACTAGAGCATCAAAGTTCATCGATGGCAGATTCTGGAGCAGAACAGCAACTATTAGGGCCCATGGGCTCAAAACCATGTTTTCAATTTGCAGAAGCTGCATTTTGTAGGCAACTTCAGTGACAAAGGTATGCATGTCCTCTGACTGTTTCTGAGGCATATATCTAAAAGAAAGAGTACAAAACAACAATTACAGTTCTGCTAGCTAGAAAAATGTGAATGGAAAGGGAATAGAAGACAGGCACTTTAGGTATCTCACAGATTCTCCCAGGTCACATACTTTACTATTGAATACAGACTTTCCTACATCTCCAGGGTATGCTCTTGAGAGGTGATAAGCTGACTTAAAGGAAGGGAGTGCTACTGCTCTCAGTTCCAGACTGAGAGAAAGAAAGAAACTCTGTTTCTTTATAAATGGGCTCCATCAGATGGGTGAAGACCGATGCCTGTCCAAGTAGGAGCAACTGCTTTGTCTTCGGAGGATCTACCCGATATTGAATATGGTTTTGTTGCAGAGTACACTTACCAGATTACATAATAACTGTGCATGTTTGCCCTGGATATTCTGTGGGGTTTGCCTGAATATTATATGGCCCTCTTCCAAGAAGCTTAAAAGCACTTATCACAAGCTACCACCATCCTCATCTACAAGCTTCTTTGTGCAAGAACATCCAAACCTTGAATAATGTAATACTGGGAACCTCCTGAGAGCTGGCTGGAGCAGGGATATGCACTGGCTTAAAAGCAGCCAGATGACAAAGTGGCTTAACAGAAACGCTTTATCCAGGAGGGTGTACAGCACTAGCTAATAACAGGGCAACTCCATTAGAGATCTATAGAGAGAACACCTACAGCAACTAAAAGCAAATACAGGTTTCTGAGATGATTAATAAAACTTCCCTTGAGACACCATAGCTGTCCTTGGACTGTGAGAGCTACAGGCAACTTCTTTATGACAGTGCAGTCCTGTGCAGTGCGGCTGTTGGAATAATTTCTGTCTCCCTACTTCATATGTACATTTCTTGAAATTAAGACAACCCCAAAGTGCATCTATATCCTGTACCCTGAAAGTTTAACTGTATCCTGAGAGAATCTGATACATTTCCTTGCTCATAAAAGAGAGGAATTAATTTTCTTGAGAACGGGGACTGGCTCTCACTCATTATTATTCATTATTCTTATTCAATTCTTTTTAGGATCAAAAATAATACTTAATACATACTTTGACTGGCCTCTCAATTCCTATACAAATACTGGTTTAAAATGAATCTTACTACTTTTAAATTAGTGGGAGGCTGGCTCCCTGAGAATAAACATTGTTTGAGTTTGCAAATTTGACATCCTGTAGTTACTAAGTTTTTGGCAAGCATACAGTTCTTCTTTAACTAGATGTTTCGACTAGAGAAAATATACTGATAGTGCTTCCTCAATCATTTGCTGTGAGACCTCAGGTAAACCACGTTCAAGTATCACAATTCAGGCTCTTAGATTTTAATCCTTACTTCTATGTAAGTTTTAAAAACATACTTTCATTAGTAAATATTATATATATTTCTTCAGCAATAACACCACAAAGAGCCTTGTACCTTGGAACCAAGTTATAGGGGCTCCGATCCATCCTTCCTCCTGTTGCCAAAGATCGAAGTGATACTGGGTCTCCGAAGTATACATGGATACTTCCAAAATTTTCAGAGAGAACCTTCCTGGCTTTCAACAACCCCTAAGAGTAGTACAAAAGAAAAGAACACACAAAAAAAGGAGTGTATTTAGGAGGTAATAAATGCACAAGTTAGAATAGTCTCAAAATGCAAATAAAGCCTAATCTGGGTGGCTTTTACGTACAGTTGTAGATTCTTTAGGCTTAGGAACCCCTAGAAGTTCATATACATAAAGAGATTCTTCCAATATCTTATCATAGCTGATGCTAATTGGAACAAGGTAGGTATCAAAAACTTCTCTTTTAAAAAATGGTTCCATCACAATATTCAGAAGACCTGAAAAAACAGGGAAAAACGTTCCATTACATACACTGGAGAGGAAAGCAAACGGCGGAAACAAGACAGGAATATACTAAAAGTGCACAGTATACATAAGACAATACAATACGCTGGTATATAAACATTTAAACTAGAAGAAATAGTTAGCAAAGGAAAGAAAATCTTGGCAAAAAAAAAATGTCAAAATCTGAGTAGTTGTTATGATGAAGCCCTATTTAAAGCTTTCTTCTTTTTTTTAATTAAGTCATTTTGTTGGGGGTTCGTACAACTTTTATCACAATCTACCCATATATGCATTGTCTCAAATACATTTATTTGTACATATGTTGTCATCATCGTTTTCAAAGCATTTCCTTTCTACTTGAGCCCCTGGTATCAGCTCATTTTTTCCCTTCCCTCTCCTTCCCTCTCTCCCTCATGAACCCTCGATAATTTACAAGTTATTATTTTTTCATGTCTTGCACTGTCCGATGTCTCCCCCCACCCCCTTGTCTGTTGTCCACACCCCCGGAGGGGGTTATGGGTGGGTCATTGTGATCGATTTCCCCTTTCTCCCCCAATCTTCCCCTAACCCTCCTGGTATGGCTCCTCTCGATACTGGTCCCGAGGAGTTTATCTGTCTTGTATTCCCTGTTTTTCCAGCTCTTACCTGTACCCATGTACATGCTCTGGTCTAGCCAGATTTGTATGGTAGAAAACTAAAGCAATAATCTTCTAATCCATGTGTGACCTACCAAATTTAGGAGTCAGTGTCTTGGCAGAACGGCTTCTTGTCCCTTCGAGGAAAAATTCAACAGGAGCATAACCATTCTTTAAAGAGAAAAAGACAAACAAAACAAAACACAAAACCCATTGCCTACTCTCAAAGTGATAAATGCTTCTTTTGATTCCTTTTCCCAAGTTCCCCCACCCCCTGGCCTCTGAACAAACACTGCTTACAGTGTAACTTAAAAGAAAGAACCACACAGATTAAACATTACCGAGGCTATCAACATTCTGACAAGGGGGAAAAAATAAGCAAGCAGCTCTGGATGCAGAAGTTAAACATTGAATAAAGTCTCACAAGAACCAACAGTGAGAACATAACACAGCTTGAAAGTACTTGGTAATATGCATTTACCCGTAACATGGTTTTTACATATTCAGAGAACACAGCCCAGTAGAGTTTATTGCCACCAAAGGTACGCCGCATGAAAAAAGCACCAGACATTCGTAGCAGTTCACCAACCATTTTCATTCCCAGGAAGTCTAAAAAACACAGAAGGGGCTAATATTTATTTTGAGATCTTGAAATTTTTCATCAAGATTTAAACTCAAAAAAGTACTATGAAGCAAGATATCGTGTATGTGATTCACCAAAGATACTAATAATTATACTTAGAAATCCTTATGGTAAAGGAATAACTAAGAAGTTACAGTATATACTCGGGTATAAGCTGAGTTTTCCAGCACATTTTTTACGTCGTTTCTGTGGTAAAATTAGGTGCTTTGGCTGATACTTGGGTCGGCATATACGCAAGTATATACAGTACTTGGTGCCACTCTATGTATCACTGCATCAACAGCCATACTAGCTAGAGACAAGGGTAACAGCAGGGAGTGAGATAACCTTGACAATGATGATACCAATTTTATTCGTCACACGGCTGACCTTGATATCAGGACAAGATGTGACTTTAATGCTCCGTCTAGCCTGGCCAAATCAGTTTTCACCTTTCTCCTACTTGTTAAAAATACCAATATCCTTTTAGTGGAACAGATTAAATGAAGTAGAAATCTGGAATGAAAGGAAGAGTTCTACCCTATTTAATATCCCTAATTTTCAAATAACTTACTCACACATCTCTACTTTTAAAGTGAGTCGATAAAGAGTTATTTGCCTTAACTACCTATCCTACCTGTACGAATTATTTATTTGCCTATTAGTTATTTGCCTATCCTACCTGTACGAATCAATCCTACAAAAATAGAAGCATAAATATAAAGATATATTGCAGTGACTTTATGTTAAGGGAAAGGAGACAATGCAGAAACTAATGAGAATAATTGTACAACTTGAAGAATGTTATCAAATGTCACTGATCTGTATATATAGAAATTTGAGTATATTCTCCACAACAAAAAATAAATCAGCAAATAAAAATTGTTACATTTATTTTGCAGCATTGCTACAATAGCAAAACCACAAAAATATGATACATAATACACTGCTGCATGCTATATACCCATTAAAAGTAACAAAAAATCTATTCACCTAAAGAAATTAAAATAATAAGAAACACAAATACAAAAGACAGGTCATATAAATTCATAATATAGGCTCATTTTGCAAACCAAACCTAAAATCCCATGTGTACAAATGCTTGTTCGTGTCTAGTTAAGCACAATACAACACAGCACGAGAGAATAAAATCCAACCTTGTTACACAAAGGGATTTTTAAAAAAGGAGTAATCCTTCAAATACCTCAACATTATTAAAATCATTACAGGGAATATTTTGATTTTTATAGAAACAAAATGTAGAAAAAGAAACCCTTACCCATTCCTGCTGCTATGACTGGCACGGGTAAATCATAGTTGTACAAAAGAAATGACAGTATCAGAAAGTCAATGTAACTGCGGTGACTAGGCAGCAGAACAACTGGATGCTCCTGAATGGCTCGTTGTAGCTTTAAAACAAATGTCAATTTTGAGTCATCTTTGCCTAAATCATCTGAAGTAAGATCTTAACGTAGAGAATAGGAGAGTTCATGTATATAATATCCATATACATTTTCCATATATGCAACTATTCTATTCCACACATACTTTTGTGTACGCTTATCTATACGTATGTACATATCTCATGTCACTCGAAAGTCACGGCCGTGGAGTCAATTCTGATCCACAGTGATCCGTAGGGCAGAGTAGACCTGCTCCTGTGGATTTCTGAAACTGTAACTCTTTACCAGAGTAGAAATCCTCATCTTTCTCCCATAAACCAAACTGCTGACCCTGCGATTAACAGCCCACTGTGTAACCACTATGCCACTAGGGCTTCTACATAACTCATATGCAATATATTCAACCCCCCCACCAAACACACAAAACAATTTATCCTGACAAGGTAAAAATATTATTTCAGAGTTCTAGGTAAGTAGTTTGACATAATGAAAGAATATTAAAAACATAAACTTTTGGGGTCAATGATGGTTTGGTTGTAGAATTTTTTCCTGAGCTAACAATGCCTCATTGGGGCAGTTAAGTAACAGTCTTTTCTACTCCTCCTCTAAGGGATCTCTACTGACCAATCTATCTGAAAAATGTAAACTTTTATTTCCAAGACAAAGTTTCATTTATTTGCAATTAGAAATAAATATTTCACAATATATAATTACATATTGTTTTTGTGATTAATCACTATGCTTTCATTTTTATTTACTTATTTAATTTTTTAAAGGTATTTGTCATTTTTAAAAATCATTTTATTAGGGGCTCACACAACTCTTATCACAATCCATACATACATCAATTGTGTAAAGCACATCTATAAATAATTTTATTGGATCAAAATAATCATGATAATGATCACGAATATATATTAGTTGGGTACCATATTAAGCATTTCATATACTAAGCATTTTACATGCATTGCTTAATATCATATTTTTAAAAGTAAGGTCTAAGCCTCAACTACCTTATTTATAAAATAGTCATGCATCTAATAAATGGTGGAGTCAGGAGTGTGATTCAAGTCAGTGACAGGTAAAATATGAATACCATTTGTATTACTAGTACTGTTTCAAGGTAAATTTCCTTATTTTGGTAATAAGCTATTGAGAAAAAAAATAAGGGTTTTATGAGGCTCTTACTCTTCATATTACTTTTATACTTTTAGACACATAGGCAGTAAGTGAGGCTGTAAGGTATCAAGTCTTACTTTACTAAGTTAGTCTAAAAGGCTGGTAGCCTGAAATTAAAAGAAAAAAAACAAACAAACAAGCAAACGTAAGAAAGGTAAACTTCTTTTGTCTAGACTAATTAGACCTTAGTTATTTAGTACTAACCAAAGTGACATTGCCTTAAATTGACTAAATTTCAAGGAGTAAAAGATAAATATATATATATAAATCAATACTCACTTTCTGAATACCTTCTTCATTTACACACACTTTGGAAAAAATTTGTTTAAGTACTTTGCTCAGGATGAAGGCCATAAAACGGACAGCTCCTAGGCGAAGTTTGTGACTCATTTCATCCAGTATTTCAGAAGCTTCCTCTCGGAGTATATCAACAGATTGAAGAGATTCTTTGGAAAGCTAAAAGGAAAAAGAAGACAGGAGTAAGTTTTAAAAGATACCAGAAAGAGAAATTTTCATGATGCCATTATTATAAAGGAGGGGTAAATGTTTTCACGCCAAAGGTGGGGGAGGGGTTCCGACAGGGAATTAAGGAAGGAGGGTAAGTGGAAAAAGGAAAGAAAGCAGCAGCGACAGCAGCTAGAATTTATTTTGATTCAAGCTCCTAGGACCAGCTCCAACTGGACCAATATAACGCAAATAAGGCATGTGTTATTTTCCCATGCAGGAAAGGCCTTAAAGGACCCTGTTGGAATGTTTAAAGGCTAGGTTTAATCCATACTGAAAGCCATATAGCCTTTGATCTTTATCAGCAAGTGCTTCCTTTCCATCTCATTTGATCAATGGGTGTGCTTGGCCTTCCAGGGCAACTCACTTGGAGTTCTTAACATGAGTAATTAGTCTCTTTTTATTTCAATGGCATTATTACAAGGAGTAATTTAAAATTTAATATTGTCTATGATCTCTATCATCCGCCTCATTGAAAAATAGTCTACAGTGGACTGCATAGCACACATTAAAGTATTCATTTTTTCAGTTACCTCCTACAATCCATTTTAATAAATGTTTATTGTCTACTTTTGTCTAGGCCAGAAATACCCAGAAATTGCAGAGATCTTGTTGTCTAAAAAGAAATATAAACAAATATAGGGACTGATATTACATAGTATACTAAAACTGATATAGTAAGGTCAATTAATTCAGATTTCAGGGTAGTCAGGAATGAGGCTTTTTCATCCTAAAAATCTAAAACTTAAAAGATAAGCAATTATAACTATTCATCCCAAGTCTTGTTCCTCTTCAGTCTATTCTTCCCACGTTGTAAATCAGAGAGGTCCCTTAAATGCAAAAATCATCATATCCTTCCTCCACTCAAATTCTTCAAAGGATGCTACTGCAGTCTGCAGGAAAAAGGCAATCTGAATTAGGTAAGTGGTCTGCTGAGAAGCAGCTGGTGGTTTCAAACTGCTGACCTTACTGTGAGTGGCCCAGTGTGTAACCACCATGCAACCTGTTAGGTCCACCATTTAAAGAGACATGAAGGAAAAGAAGCCGGCAAAGTATGAAGCTCACTTACAGAAAACCATATGCCTTTGGCCTTAATTCCTAAAAACCTCACAAGGCATGATGTAATTTATCTTGCTGAGCCACATATGAGACCTATAAGAACCTTGAACTCCAAGATTCAGCTGAGCTTCCAGTTGAGCTTTCTGGTCGGCAAAACAATCATTCAATGTCTCTCTTGGAAGCTCTGCTCTGGGATCTCTTTTGGAGCTTACTATATGCATCTTTTTTGTTATTATTACATTACAGCTATTATTACTGGCATGGTATTTCCTGTGCACTCTCTAAGTTGTTCCAGCAAATTATAGGCCCCTAGTAGCATAGTAGAGGCGGACTGGTCTGTAAAGTGGGGGGAGGCATGTAGACTCCCAAGCTTTGGTTGGTACCCTAAGTAGGTAAAAGAATATCTCAAATTTAGGGCTAGCTGATATAAAGTGAAGGGAGTCATGTGGGCTCCCAAACTTGTGGCTGATATAGCTGCAAATGGCTGGACATGAGAAAAAGGCTGCATGAGCAATAGAGTCTGAACTGAACAAGGAGAAGTTGAGATTTCCAGAGGGCAGTAGAGTGAGCTTTGTCATTGCCCCTACAATTTGGCATTAGAAAGTGGGTGATCTTAATTTCCCTGGAATGGTTTCACACAATTGATGATGATGTTGTTCACCAGAGTGAACCTGCCCATGAAGACAACTGAAGAATGATCAAACTATAGAGGAAGAGAGAAGAAAAGTATGCTATCATGGGAAAAAAGGAAAAGAAAAGGTCAGTAGTGCAAAAGGCTACTACATATTTGAATGAGTTAGATTTAAGCTACAAGGAAGTCATTCACAATCCTGGAAAGAATTACTACAGTGGATTGGATACCAATGAGATCCCCCAAAGTTGAGTGGTTTAAAAAAGGGTCAGGAAATGCGGCAAACAAATACAGTAAACATAGCCAACTTTTTTTAAAGAGGAGAAAACTGGTAGGGTAGAACTCGACAATAAATAGAGTACAGATGGAGTAAAAGAAGGCCTATTTAAACGAGAAATGATGGACCATGTTAAATGTTAATGGTAAAGTTGAAGAAGGATGGATAGTCAGTAAAGCAAACCCCCCAAATGTCAAATTCACTGATATCAAGTTTCTTACGACTCAAAGTGACCCTAGGTAGGGTTTCTGAGTTTGTAGTTAATAGCCTCATCTTTTCCTCATGGAGCAACTAATGGGTTTGAACAAATGACCTTAAGGTTAGCAGTCCAATAGTTACCCAACATTGCCACTAGAGTTCCTTCAATAGAGTGGTTGAGAGCGGATAGCATTCATAGCAAAGGAGTAAAGACTTAATTCTAAATGGGGATCCCGCTTCCATTTTAATAGAAATGAAGAATGAAATTATGGGTACTGGATACCAATAAATTGGTAGATTTGATCACAGGGAATTGAGGGAAAAAACCAACTAAACTCACTGAGAGTTGAGTCCAACTCATAACGACCTTATAGGATAAGGGAGAACTGCCTCTGTTGGTTTCCGAGACTGTAACTGTTTACAAGGGTCCAAAGTCTCTTCTCTCCCACAAAAAGGCTGGTGGTTTCAAACTGCTGACCTTGAACTTAGCAGCCCAACTCATAACCCACCATGCTACCAGGACTCCAGAAATTGAGAAAGTTCTTAGAATTTTTCATCCTACTTCCCAAAGGAAATTATTTCCTCAGAGTCAAAGGAGGAGGTGGAGGTCCAAGGCAAACGGTGATAATTGACAATGCCATTATGTGTAATGGGAATGAGTTAACTAGGGAAGCAAAGAATTATTAGACAACATGTAAGTCCTAATGTGCTTCATAAACATATGCTTCAAATTATCTAGATGGCATGTTTGTTTTTTTTGCCAAGATTAACAGTACAGTCAAGTTTGAGAAACAATGAGTAAAATCTTTTAAATAAGTCACATTTAATCTGGTTGCATATTAAAATTACTTAGGGAGCTTTAAAAAACAATCAGAAGGCAAAAATAAGAACAGGAGAAATGCCTGTGCACTAGCCCAGAACAATTAAACCAGAGTCTCTACAGATAAAGCCAAGACATCATTTTATTTTTCATCCATTAATTCAGTAAATAAGTATTTAATGCCTACTATGCACAGCTGAAAATGAGACAAAAATTCTTGCCTTCATGGGATTTATATCCTATTAGATAATAATAGCTAAATTTTTACAATAGTTCACCAAGTGATTCTAATGAGTGGCCAGAGCTGAGAGCCACTGTCTTAAGCTAATTGATAATAAACCTTTACTTCACGTAAGAAGTAATGAACAATGAAGTAATGCTGGTCTTATTGGTTAAGGTAATGTGTCAACTTGACTGGACCATGACAATTACATAATGATGTATTTTTGCAGTTATGTAATGGCATAATGTGGCAATTACATATTGATGAAGCCTTCCTCCATTTTTGCCTTACACCAATTTTCAAATAATGATTTGGTCTTTGGAATACAATGATGCCGTTAAGGAGTTGTTGTCAGATGCCATCGAGTCAGTTCCAACTTATAGTGACCCGATGTCCAACAGAACTGAACACTGCTTAGTCACGTGTCATCCATGCAACTGTTGTTTGGGTCTGCTGTTGCAACCACTGTGCCAATCCATTTCCTTGAGTCTTCTTCTTCATTGCCCCTTTACTTTATCAATCATGATATCCTTTTCCTGGGACTGGTCTCTCCTGGTAGCATGTCCAAAATAAGCAAGATGAAATCTTACCACCCTTAATCCTAAGGAGTCTCCTGGCTCTACTTCCAACACAGATTTGTTTGCTCTTCTGTAGCCCATGGTACTTTCACCATAATTCAAGTCTATCAATTCTTCTTCAGCCTTCCGTTATTCATATATTTTTAATATACGCCTTAAAAAATACACCTACTCCTCATTTCCTGGGCAAGGAATTCAGAGGTCGTGAAGTTACCCAGTGGGCTTCGATCCACATAGTCGGCAGTTCAAAACCACTAGTAGCTCCTAGGGAGAAAGACTGGGCTTTCTACTGTCATAAACAGTTACAGTCTCAGAAACCCACTGTAGGTCACTAAAGAGTCAGCACTGACTTGAGGGCAGTGAGTTGGGAGAAAGCACAGGCCTTATGTACAAATCAAGGAGAATACAGACATCAGAAATAATTCCCACCTCAAAGCAAAACTATAGTGAAAAGTTAAAACAGCAAGACCTACACAGGGAAGCCTCAAGGTGGGAAAGTAAACTTTAAAATACTGAAAATTCTTTCCTCTTCACCAATCAAAATGCAGGACAGAGTCTATGAGGCCACAGATGATGTATGGCGTAACATGAAGTGCAATGCAATATCCTGAAGCTGAATCTAGAGACTGTCAGTCACAGACTGGGTCAGGGAAGGGCCTCAAAGATGAACGGTGTCCGTTCTCCCTACAGTAAGTAAGAACTGCTTAATCAAGGAAGTGGAGCGACAACCTGTGCTCCTTCATATCAGACGACTGGAATTCTGAAGGCGCTCCATCTTTCACTGAAAAAATATAGGACTAGTTGCATGTGTGTTTTCCTTTAAGATGTTTACTAAGAACAACAACAACAAGGAAAGAAGACTGTGTTCTTATCTGACTAGGAGAATAAGGTCACAGAATAGGAGTATGCTGCTATTAAAAATAAAAATTCGTCCTAAATCGTACTCCCAGAGTTATAAGTCTGATGATCTGAAAGTTATCAGAATAGTTACATATAGTTTTCAATAGCTATAATCTTATGGAAGTAGATTAGTAGTAGATGAGGCTGACCCAATCTGTGAAATCTCTCTTACCTTTACGACCTGGCCCCTGCTTACTTCACATGCACACACGCATGCACGCACGCACGGGTTTATATATTTATATATAAAACACCATTATCCTTTCTTTTTTCTCTTTGATCTGGTTCTACTGAATTACTTTCAGTACTATCAAGGTACACATTTTCTCTTAACTATGGGCCTTAAAAAAGGCCAGAAGTTCCCAACCTTTGTTATACTTTGGAATCACCTGGGCTTCTTAAAAAATATATTGATGCCTGGCTTCCTCCCCCTGACTGATTTAATGGGTATGGAAGTACTGTATATAATCGAGTATAAGGCGAGTTTCCCAGCACATTTTTAATGCAGTTTTTGTGGTAAAATTAGGTGCTTCAGTTGATATTCGGGTCGGTTTATATGGTAGATTTTTTAAAGTTGCACGAATGATCCTAATATGCCACAAGATTTGAAAACCACTAGAATTAGTTATTTCCTCTGCTAGGGGCATTGTTTCTTCCATCTAGAAATCCCTTATCATCTTTCAGGGCCCATTTAAAAAATCACTTCCATGACTACTTAGCCAAATTAATTACCCCTTTAATAATTCGTGTGAATGCACGTCAGCGTCACACTAGCATGTGTCTGTCTCTTACCATATCTTATTTAAGTGATCATACAACTGTCATCATTCCCTATTAGACTATAAACTTAAGTGGTCAGACAATATAGTGATATTGCTTGCTTACCCTGAGTGCCTGGTAAAGAGGTTGACAATTGAGGATAAGTATTTGATAATGTATTGAGCACAATAAAAATTTAAAATATATATTAAAAATAACAAATGAAACCATGCACATTAATAAAACAAATTCATATAATCAAGAAGAAGAAATTTGTTGACAATGAACAAATTTAAATCCATCTAAGTGGGGGATCATTACCTGTTTAATAATATAACGAATCTCTTCAGAATTGAGAACACTAGATTTAATATCACTTGGTGTGCAAGGAATCATTTCCTTATAGACAAGAGGCGTGTAGCACTTCATTGCAAATTTCAGGTCACTGACATGCCTTCTCTCCTCTAAAATATCTTCAAACTCATCCCACTTCTTGAGCTCCTTCTGTGGACAAAAGAGAGAAAATAATTAGTCCATACCGTAAAATAAATGAGGATACATTAGAAATCATAATGGTAAGATTTCACTCTTGACTAATTTTTATTCAGCAATATATGAACAAGAGCAGCATTCGGATGTTAAGATTTTCATATATATAGACAAAGAAATGTAATAATTAGGGTCAATAAACTTGGTATTAAATTATGAAAAATTTAATGATTGTATTTCTGATAGTTTCCCTTGTAAATCCCGTAGACTTTTGGGAAATTTGAAGATAGCAAAGATGATAAATTAAGCTCTAGAATATTCAGATCAATTTTTTTTTTACAGGCCAACATATCAGAAAATTTAATGTTTTTCTATCAAAATCATGCAAGTAAGAAGTGGTTTGATATATTCAAA